TACACAGTGTTACCGCGCCGGGAACTTGTTCATCTAGCCCATACTCGGTATGAGATGAAGAATGATCTGCAAGGGTTCCCCTCAAGAAAATGGTGTACTGAAACAGCTATGTTCCCCACTCATGGTTCCCCTGATCACGAATGTTAATCTAAGTGGGTATTTGCAATGACTTGTAGGCACCAGTTTAGTTGATGAAGTCAGTTTTCTTATGCTAATACCATCTAACTAATGCTCCGCAGCGGCTGGAAGTTTGTTTATCCTGGACAGGTTCAGATCTGCAGGGCGGGTTTTTTACGTGCAGCGCTACTCTTTTATGAAGCATTATCCTTGCTGTTCTGGTCCCTCAACTCAACTGGTATGCTTTATATCCCTACGGCATAATCATTTCGATCAATCGATGATCAATCACGGGGTCAGGAGAAGGGCTATGACTGAAGGGCGGAGCCGTCGGCACTAGATGATCGAGAACAACTTGTCAAACAATCTGAATATAATCAGAAGCTCAATGTTTGCCTTTCGGCGCTCGAGCGCTCGCGAGCGCTAGATCTTTCTATATTCGATCGGCTTAAGCAGCCACAACGACTGAGAATTAACCGTCGCAACAACCCACTTGACGCTTGTCATATCGATGTGATACGGTATTGAATAAAAGCTAAAGATCAAGCGCATTTTTATTTATTTCAATCATTTCATTCCGGGAAGTTATAGGAGTTACATAGAACATGTAAATCTACTCACCGATTCGATGCATGAAACTCAACCAGTCATCTAACCATTCCTTCCGCTTTGTGTCATCAGAGAGCTCATACAACTGAAAAGAACAAAAGTCAGGAGACAAATTGATAGTAGAAAATGGGATTCTCTTTTTCCAATTGATAATTTCTACCGCTTTGCTTGATTAGAATGGTAGGGATGCCTAGATTTGGGCATAAGGGATGTTCGGGAAAATGGAGGCGAGTTCGAGTTCAGCTCGAGCTTCTTATTAGTGCTCCAAAAGCTGCACTGGAACCGATCGAGGCTCGCGCCGGTGGCGCCTTCTCAGTGTCTTCCCACTTCTTTCCAAGACAGCACTATCTCAAGCTGTCACCATTTTCATTTATTGCGTTTGAGTGATGACAATCAAATAGCCAACCACTCAATAGTGTGTCATGCTGGCCAGATTATTGCAATTTCATATTATCGATTGATGTTGCACACAGCCCACGTACATTGCCGGTGACATACACTGCTTAAGACGAAGTCATGAGCTCTGACAGCCATGAGCTCTGACTCCCGGCACATAAGTGGTTTTCGATAATGATCGGGAAATTCTCTTTTCTACAGTTCTAGGAAAAGTTCTACATAATTATCTAAAACCTAAGTAAACCCAGTAAGTAAACTCAATAAGGTATTCTAGTACTGCACAGTCCTGATTGCCGGTTTTCTTACTGCTTCGCCGTCCACTGGAGTTCCTCTGAATTTTGAGTAGGACCAGGACCCTGAGTAATCAACTAAGCTCTTGGAAAGGTAAAAGGAATGAGTCAGTTCCAATCGATCAGCGATGGAATAGGTTGTTGGATAGACGATAAAGCTATGAACATGATAGGTCGGAGGTTTCATGAGGGAACAAGAAGGAAAGTGGTTAGCGGAGCTGTTTGAAGAATAGTTTTAGTTACTAATTCCGAAAGCTTCAATTCTATCTAGTTATCAGTACAAAATTCGAGGCCTTCGTTGTTTTCTACACTGTCCCTCCTCTCCATAGCTCATAATTGTGCCATCTGCAGGCCCTTCCGCTGGAGTTCCAACAGGCTCATCTCATCTCAATGCCGATCTCGTCAAGGCGAATGAGCCAAAGAAAGCAATCATATTCAAAGACGAAATGCAATTTGCGATGACACACCGCGTCAATTAGTGTCTTTTCTATCTATCGAAGAGGCGGAATAGTGTGATGCGAGTCTCTCGTGTTTCCATTGTGAACGGCTACGGTAGGATTACGATATATTCGTGATGAGACACTTACGTCCCATTAGACTCGCCGATGAGAAACAAAACGCAGCAGCTCCTTCGTTGGGCGATCAATACGAAAAGAAGCCTCATTAAATTAAGTAATATGCCGGGCTAATATCGTATCATAGAACAGCATATTGGAATCGATTACAATCAGAAAATTACCGTACATATGTAATCATTTTATAATATGTTAATCATGTTAGCGCTAAAGAGCAAACAAAGTGGAGAGCAGGTCAAACAAAAGAGCTAATCAAATAGAAGATTGGTTGTGTTAGACTTTCCAGAAAAACCTATAAGAATTCGGTGAAAACCAGTGAAAGAGATGATTTTTCGATTGATCGGCCGAACTACCATCGGAACTTTGTGTTTCTCTGGCCGAGCATGGGCCATGATGAGAGGTTACTACCGGAGTTAAACTTCAGATCGAAGCCCTCTTGAACCATTCAGGTCCTCAATTCTCCCAAAATCGGATATTTGCGATCAATAGGCTCTGTAACCATTCTTGAAACCAAGGGTAGAACAGCTCGTACGTCGGACATAGCTGGAAAAAAATGTGAAGGATGAATACCCATCAGAACGCCATTGTCTCTGGAATGGAGGTAAAATGCATGATCAAAGAGGGATGGGATGATCAAGACGGTTTTATCCTTGCATTTCCCATCACAGGGACGATAGAGAGACCATCTTCTCGGGGAGGAACCCTGTAGGGATCTTCCATGGGATGACACCATTTCATCTATTTATTCGGTAGTAGTGCTGTAGGAGAAATTCTCAATAACTGTTCAATGACAATGAGAAAAGCTCAGTGTGATAGGGATTCTATTGAATAGCCCAAAGATTCCTTTACTTCCCCTGAAACCGATATCCTTCAGAGTTCCCCCATCCTGCTCGATCTAATGAATTACACCATCTGAATTACACAATCCCATGATATCATTCATTCATCTTATTCAAAGTCAGCAACATCTGCTTTGTTTTCAGAGAATCAGATGTAATCTTGTTTATAACATTTGTAGAACAACTGGAAAATCCCTTACCCTAGTCTAGCCTGGCCTCATCTAGCTAGCCAATTCAAACAGTTAATTGAGCTATTTCCGTTAGGGAACCTGATAAGCGCCGTCATAAATCATGTATCAAGCTGGAGCAGAAGCCTTATACGTCAGACGCAGTTGTAAACCCATAAGTGACGACCATCAGGCTCATCAAGCAGCTGATGACGAGTCCCTCGACGGCCGACCAACGGTCCGATGCTGTGCTGGTTGGTTGCGAAGCTGCGTGGCGCGTGCCAGTGTCAATGGTTTTGCTGAGACTGATGTGAGATTGAGATGATCGATGAGAACGCTCACAACTCGATTGAGTATCGGCCAACACTGACAACAACAACTACCAACTTGATTTAGAGCTCCGATGTAACAGTCGGAATGAATAAAGTCATCTAAATAGAAAGGGGCCCGAAATCCTTTTCCGTAACGAAAGCTCCTTTCTCCAAAAAACATCATTCAACCCCTGCATTAGGCTTTCCATGAATTAAGTACATATGGCATCTGCTAAAAGGAAAGAGCCTGGAATTTGATTACTGGTCCTCAACATAAGCGAATCCTTGAAGTCACTGATCCCCATTCCTGCTTGTGTGATCAAGACATCAGGAAGATAAGCACAAGATCCTCTCCTCTTAGCCATTCTGTTAACACCTCTAGCGTAGCGGAAGGGGTATCCAGGTTTTAGAAGTTTGTCGTATTTATTCTTATACAGTATACTAGTAATATGTAGCTATATGCCCACCAAAAAAACCTTTTAATCACTCTAGCCTCACCTGGCCACATTCCTGCACTCCAGAGGTTAAATTCGATTTTACCCTCTCGATTCGAATCTTTCTGAAACGTTTTCCTTCCAACTGTCACCTTTCATAATATGATTGATCCTTCAGTCCAAGCTAGAAGCCTGCCGAGAGACATCTCGTCTAATGGAAAGGGCTAGTAGGACAGCGCAAAACCTCCCATCTCTCAGATCTCTCTCAAAACTGTTTTTCGATTAGCTAGCTCTAATTCTGACATCTTGTCAGGAATGTGGACGTTTTATTAAGGATCAATCACCAGGTAATCCCCTTCATTTCGAGGGAGCAAGCGGTCCAAGGGCAAAGTTTCTTTTCACAGGCTGAACCCACCATTCTCTCCTGTTCTATATCTGGCTAATCAGCGTAAAGCGGCGATTTATACGATGTGTACATGGGGTACACAAACATTCCAAGAGCAGCGACTCGTCTATAGGGCGGGCCCACTTGCTGGATTAAAGATCTTCGGGGGCTCAACTTTATTGCTCTTTGAAAAAAAAGGCGAATTCGATGGCTTAAGCATCTATTTTCAGGGTTCTGTGGAGTTCCTCTACCGGACAGCCCCTAACGACCACATTGATCCATGCGGAGACAGGTGCTGAGAATACCTTATCGTCGTCATCATTCAGTCAACCGCCCGGCAATTCAGTTGGGCTGGTTTGACTGGGCGTCAATGCAACAATACGCCATTCGCATGCGCAGCTCGACAAAAAGCCTCGTGAATCATGCACGCGCAGCGCGATTTGCTATGAAAACAATCGCGTGAATTCCACCGGCCGCGAATAATCCGAATACGGTAGTTTGACGAGGTCTCAGCCCGTCGTCAAGCACAATACGGTCGATACTCAGGTGATGAGTGCCCTCAGCGCTGGATTAGTCAATTAGCTGCAGCAGCGAAGACTAGAGAAGGATTTCATGGAATTAAATGCTTTTATGGGCCAACCACTCTGGAAGAATAGGAAGCGAAGTGAGAACTCCTTCAGCACCCCTAAGGTCATAAGAAGTACCGAGCCGGCAGTGATACTCTGGGGAAGGCATCCTATGTGCAAAAACTCCCATGATAGATTTTATTTCAGTGATGTAACCATGGTATCAGCTCAGGCGGAGTTACGTTATATGCTCAAATTCCGTCCTTAAAAAAGCTCGTTTCGATGGTATTGATTGCCCTGACTGTTCGAATAAAAAGCACAAATTTGTAAGTGTGACACTGCTCAAGACCCCTATTGCACTGAATTCGAGTGAAATAAAACTGCCAAGATCATCTTCCGATCTACCCTTAGCACTACTGAAAGGGCTCTGACTTCTGCTGAGTAGGAGTCTACGACATTGGCAACAAGTACTCAAAATCTCATTAAAAAGAATAAAGTCACTTTGTAGCAAAACGTTGCATCTAATCAATCAGAAATAATGCTTATTTATTCGATGTTGACTCTCTTCTACTAGTCTCAATAACCCTATAGTTACTGTTATCACTTGAAGGGGTTTGACAATTACTCAGGTTGAACTATGTAGTCTCCATGCTTTTCGAGATAGATAAGCCTGTCAAACGCCAGAATGCAGAGATTCCAGAAGCTGGACAAAAGCCTCTACTAGAAATCACAGCCAGTCATACCTGTTTGAATTGTTCTTCGTAGGACCATGACGAACCACCCAGTGACGTGCCGCCTTCTCCATGGTGATCCTCTAGCTTGGGATCCTTGCGGAAACTAAACCATTGACACTATTTTATCGGCTGGTCACTGAGAGAACCAGTTAGCTAAACTCTGACTATTTCATCAATTTACCACTACTTAAACAACCCTCTCCACAAAACATGAACCTTACAGTACGAAACCACGATAGATCCCTAAACCGTACCTCATCGTCAAATCTTCCGGTTCGGTGGTTGCGCCGTTCTCCATTTCGTCTTCTTCATCAGGTCCCGGTGACACACCGCTCAAGCCACCGGTCAAACCAAGTAACTGCTGCTGTAACATCTATTAATATAAGTCCAATTCAAAAGCATCGATCAAACGATCATATTAATTAAGTAGTATCTGCTAGTAGTAAGTAATTTAACCTGTAAAGCCAATGGATTTTGTTGGAGTGCTGCAAGGAACGGTGGCAAGACGTTCATGTTGAAGGCGGAACGAAACCCTCCAAGACCTAAATATGAATTGTATCCAAATAACAAAAATGGTAGCAAATCGAAAATAATGTCAATGGAAAGTAAACACTTGAAATCTCAACAGATTCCCATGAGAAATCTATTGGTGGACTTGATCAACTTAAACAATGGTGACCTTGACTTTTTGATGGGTTCAATAGCTGAATATTGTGAAAGTTTTACATTAAAAGTTCCCGGAAGATTCATTGGCAAGTGATAAGGGCTTGTATATTATGGACTGCAGGTTTGCGAACCCGTCTCCACGCGGTTGATAAAAGCGTCCTAGATCTTTCAAAAGGATACCCGTCTTACCTATACCCCCTACTATCAAGATGAAATAGTGTGCGTGAAGTGTGTAGTTGCCGAGCACGTAATCGTGGCACAGAAATGCTTTATCGCAGACTTTTCTAGTTGCACTACGATAAGACATTACTGTAACTATAGACATACCGACCGACTATAAAAGGTATCAATAGCTAACACTGTCAAAGTTATAATTGTATAAGGAAGAGATACAAACGCACTAAAATATTCCGAAACTCTACTCACCCAGACTTGAGGTAAACCGTTGAAATGCTTTCTGTTGCGCCTCAATATCAAACGTATTGGACGGAGTCTCAGGTGAAGGGGTACCTCCATTAGTGGTCGGCTAAAACTGTCTATTGATGTGAGCTTCATTTGAGAAAAACCCATGAAATTTTACAATCAACAATATATAAAAGGATTGGATTGAATGAAGGCGCTCTCAATTTACGAGCACGATTAAAAAGTGCTATCACATGCTAATGTCAGTGGACTTTGCAGTTATACAGCCCTGAGGAGCTATATTCCGCTCCGACACACTCCAGATCTTACATTAAAGCATATTTGCACCAAAAATATTCGAATATTCATGAATTTCATCCAAAAAATATACTGAAGGCAGTTTGTGGAATATACAGGAGGAGACAAGTTCCTATTCAAGTTCACTACAGATCCCAGACAGTTATGCATGATCTCTTGGAAAATAAAACTGAAAAAGGACTAAAATGTGAAGCATAGAATGTTATGAGAGCATATGCATGGATAACCTCTTATTTATCAAACGGGAGTTTGAAGGTTAATCGCTCTGCAATGGGTTGTTCCATCCCCATTTGAAACAAATAATTTCCTAGTTCTTGACAGGAGCCAGGTGTGTGGCGCGAACCAAAGCAATCGACTAATGCGGTAAGTCGCTTTGTCTCATCATGCATCAGCTTTTTTTCAAAAATTTCGATAAATATGTTGTAGTATGTTAATATTTCAAAAAGCCTGAAACATTCTGTCGCATGTCCCAATCTATAAAGTTCTCCCACGTTACGCATACGTACCGTAACCTCCCGCGAACGATAATCGTTACGCTACGTATCGTCTCACTGCCTGTTCGCCATTCAATCGGCTCGGACTCATAATTTCTGCTTGGACGAGGGTCAAAAAATCGACGACCATCTCTCGCTTATCTCTTACATTGTTGATTTGGTGGACAGGTGGACAGCTGTTCGTTGGCATCATGCCGTCGTCCGTCGGTCCGTCGTTGGCTTTCTGCTGTAAATCATGCTTGGAGAACGTTCAGACATCTCCCTCATAGCCATCCCTTATATCCTCACCGAAAAAAATTCTTGCTGACGCCATTGCTCACGTCTCTGAATAGTCAAAAAGCTATAGCCCGGACTTTTTCACAAAAGCTTTCTGCCAAGATTCAGGAACTTTAAATACTCATTGTCTGGTCAACACATCGATAATGTTCTATAAAGACTAATATCGATGTGTTGACTCTGTAGAGACTGTTGAGAAAGTTTAGTTACATCGTCTGTCTATTGAGCTGAGGGATAACTATTATTAATATGTTGACCCATCAGTCGGTTCTTAGAAACTCTGAAATCATGGTCATCACCACTATCATCGGGCTCTGATCACTTCCAGAAATTTATAATACGCTTTGTGGGAAAAATAGCAAATATGCGATAGCAAGTTGGTCAGCGTCCATGTAGAATGAGCCCTGCACTATGTACACTTCCGGACTTTTGACAGCCTGATATTCAAGTATAGGTTGAGAGAAACCAGGTGGCATTTATGGGTGAACTAAACAACTAAACAGTGTAAGTGTAAGTGTAAACATCTAAACAAAGTCTTCACAAGGACTTACGTCTCAATCTGGTACCATAAACCCAATTAGCAAGGGATTGGAGGTGTGGGGCGAGATTAACATGAAACTTGATCCCAGGATCATATTATGAAGGCTTATGGAGTAATATAAATTCATTCTTTCAAATCCCGTGAGTAGAAAAATAATAAAGTTGTTCCAAGTGAGTGACATGAGCTCTTTCTCACCTCAGTACTGCCATTGCCTTCAGTAACGCCGTCTTCGGCTTTCCCACAATTCAACTGCAATGCTGACGTGAACATCGACGAATCGTCTATTCGTAACGACATTCTGAAAAAACACTATGAAGGCTTACAACAACAAAAAAACAAAACAAAACAAAGAGACAGGCAGTGATCGAGCGGAGTAAAGCCAGTCTAGGAAGACAAAGAGGCAAAGGAATCTTTTTACAGTTTCTTCGTAGAGATTAGTTGGAAAGATCACAAGTTCGGTCCCATAAAAGCCATCATAAAGCCTCAAAGAGAAGTATATTATAAGTAAGTATTCATCCATCACCTATGTATTATGCCGCCTTAGGGTTTGATTATTACAGCGAAGTTTTGCGAGACACTGAACCATGAAATCCTCTCGGTAACGGTAGAAAAGTTTCATCTTCATGAGGCCTACAATATACCGGCTTCTGATAGATGTAGATGGTTCATATTTGGAAGCCCACTGGAACCTTAAAAACCCAGAAACATGTACTGTGAATATCTCACTGAAGAAGAAATCGCCGATAGAATTAAGAACCTTGAAAGGATCGGTGCTGGGAAGGTTCAGAATAGTCTAACATCAGAGTGAATGACCTCAGATTAGCCCTGAAGGACTATCTCTACCAGAATCGGTGGACTTTTGCAAAGTTTATTCGATGTGAGAGTAATTTTTGAAATTAAGCAAAGATTAATAGTAACTTGACTTGCTAACTACATGTGGCCTTGTATATGTGAGTAAGGCTTATCACCAAACTCACTACTAAGTCAACTTTTCGAGTAATAAGTTGCTGAAGAACTTCTAAGCACCATTGAATAGTGAGAAAAAAACTTTCGGCGAGAAGGAATAAGGAATGATTGAGCCCTACATGTCACATTCAGGAACGTTTTAGTCACTACTGCTCGAGCTACCCATGGCTGCACCTCTGGAAGCCCAACATCTGCGCGTCACCAACGTGTGAAGTTCTCCTGAGTAAAGGGAACAACAGAAGCTGGCGGCAGTGGTGTCGGAACGGCGCCTGAACGTCGACAGCGGGCGCCACCGCCGCCGGCGATAATCCCCGTCGGTTGGCGCTGCTCTCATTGCTCAACTGCATATGTTCTGAATGACGAAAATGCGTACGAAAAACGCGAACATTTAGTATCGGGTTGATATTCGGCGATTGGAGCGCGCTTAATTGTGAACACATGTTCAACTGCTGGGGGTCGACGATCGCGCCCTCATCCACGCCACCATTGCTCAACCACTCGTTCACCAATGGCTTGGCTGAGCACTCGCGATATCGCAGAGATAGCGTTATTAATACGGAGGGACACAACTAGTCAAACTCGCTGATGAATGGGTATGAAAATCGGGTCGTAATGAATTGATCAGCCGTTTTTTTACACGAGATCTGAGCCGGGCAGCAATCGCGATTGCTCGATCGCGTTTAGATTTGATTTATGAGTCGATGGATTCGAGAAAAACCTCGTTTTTGACTAGCATCGGATAACATAGTGCCATTCGAATTGATGGGATTCATTCTGGAGCTTGATCCTACATTACAAGACCTTGTGACAGCAGTTCCACTTTCGACGATCTTTCGTTACCTACGGATCTATCCTCATGGCTAAAAATGGAGATGCACAAAACTATAAGGAAATCGGTCGGCTAGGTGCTTCCGTATTCCTCGTTATCCATATGTCTGTACCACTAACTGTACGTTGTTTCTCCTACAACTTGCACCAAAACTCTGCTGATATATATGAGTAATTCAGTATAAGCTGGTAACATAACAAAGTTGACGTCTTACTAAAAAACAACAAACACTTAGCACAACGATAAAATGACAACTAGTCAACAACACCGCCAGCGTAACATAAAACTGTGGTAAGGAAAGAGGTTGCAGACAACAAGACTGATAAAAATGCCAGGAGCAGCTCTTTCATGGCAAGATGGGGCATATGGACTGATCTGATCACACGAGAGCAAACTTTTGTAGTGAAGTTGGGTTCTACGGAGTACTATCTAGTGCTGTTCCTTACTGTAATCATGCACCATTCGCATGAAAAATGGGAGATCTTGACTGGTCGAGATATTAAGCTCCTCTTTCGGCCAAATATCAAGGCTTCCTCTATCTCTACTATGCCACCACTAACGGTTATTCATACTTATTCAAATATCTCAGAAAAGGAATGTGAAGCATAGACAACAACATTATTCAAAGCTTGTAGTGCTTAGCCTATTATACTGCCCTTATAAGTGGACTTTTGAAAGAGTTTTCATATAACAGTTATCTGAAAGTCCAATTCCTTACTCCAGAGAAGACGGTTGGAAGTCTGAAAAGCTTGAAATGCCCCTAAAAAAATCCGATCGTTCCATCGAATGTGTGATAGCAGCCTACCCCCAACTTGCTCATATCCTTTGTGGATCCTTAACTTGATTCGCTGATACCCACTGTTCAGGATGTGAAGGGAAGCCACGGACGATTTGAAACTTCAGAGGTGCTTTCGCTGGTCCTTCGAGCAATTTCTCCGCATCAGCTGATCCTTGATAATCTCTGTTCACGCCACAGTTTCAAGCTCAACTACTTTTCTCAGCAAGACCAAATAGAAATTCGTTCTAAAAGGGGCTGATCATGGCTGAGCGTTCTGTTCTGTTCTGCACCATTACAATACGATATGAGCTGGAAGAAAACAAACAAAAATATTAGAATAATGATGCCATCCCCAAAAGCCCATCTAAAGCACGGGTACTAACTACGATCAGGGAAAGTATTCCACTCAAATGCGAAGAAAAGGTTCACTAAATTCCAGTAAAGTTCAATTTCAATTTCGTCGGTATTCGCTGATGGCAATAAATCCCCGCTCAGATTTCATGACCGACACGACCTCGTATTTTCTTCGAAGTTGAACATCTTAAAATCCGTACTGATTAGTTTTAATGTCATTTTCATGGCCACTAGCACTGATAAGTGGAAACGGCAAAAAAAAAAAACTTTGCTGACAGGCCTTCGAAGCCAACCATGAGAAATGAACCATCAATGTGTTATAAAGCACTTTTCAAAGCGCCGAACCCCTACCGCCCTATTTTTGGTAGCGTTCCGCAGATTTCTCCCCTTGCGAGGTTCTTCTGGACCCCATTGTGAACAAAGGGTGTAGGGAAGGAGGAAGAATGGATCAAACGATAAACCTTTTTCGAAGCGAACACTTTTCCTAGGGTTCCATAGGGCTGCAGATGAGGAAAATCCTTAAAGCATATGTTTGAAGTGAAATAAACACATGTGCAATACTGAAGCTTTGTCCAAAATATTCTCACTGAATGTTTATTTTATTGGCATTTTCATGCCGCTTCTACTGGTAAACAAGTACTGTAAGCAGTATTTGATCCCCGGACACCGCCCTGATAGGATCATGTGGCACATGAGCAAGGGAACTCTGACCACATCTTTTTTTGTAGCTGGTCAGCAAGTCCACTAAGTCCAGTTAGTCCAGACGACACGACAGGAGATAAATGAAGGAACGAGCCGACGAACACGATTGCAAGTGGCGACCGACAGCTCCAAAAGATATATGGACTAGTTGACTGCCTCCACCCCCTCCACACACGAGCTCAACGAAAAAACGAGGTGGTCGATTGATTAACGAATATTACAGCCATACATTCACCCCAAGCCGCTGCCACAGGAGGAATGATGAATTTCCTGAAGCGGGAGACTTCCAACCCCTAGAAAAGTGTTCATTCGGAGCGTAGCCCACACTTGAATGATGAAAAAGGATGAATTTTGAGTAGTTCTCATAATTCCTTCCAGTCATCAACGACCGATGGGAGCATGCCAGCCAGCCGACCGACCACATACACAACTGTTCAGCACACTCACGTACACGCACACACACCTATACACGCCCATTAAATCGTGAAAGAAGAAACGAACACAGTGAGATGAACGAGGCATCAAGGAGGACCATCAAACGGGTGAAATTCGAAAAGATCATTGAGAAGGTAATTTGTTATAGATTTTAGGGAAAAGAACAGAGACTGTTATTGGCGTAGCAGGCCTACGAAGGCGGTCATTACTGCAAAACGGAACTACTCAGGCGACGCTCCTTTTGATGGTATCGGTGGGATTCTAACATAAGTTTGAAGGCATTCTAAGGATCAACGTAGGCAGGAAGCTCAGCAAAGGTGTTGTTATGAATACTACAGTGTCTGCGACTGACAAGGATAAGACTGTAGACGGATTTGCTCAGTTCTATCTGCTTTCACTACATTTTTTGCTCCCCCTAATCATATCGCCATTGGTGATATGATCAGAGGGAGCAAAGTGGCTTCCGGTAGTGTCCTCGCTGGATTATTCCATAGGCTTCTAAGTACATACATATGACTGGCTAGATGTCAATTGAAACTGGGGATCATTGAACTGAGCCGCATTTGGGAGCGGCCAGTTGAACAAAAAAGGACATGAGCACTCTTCTCAAGGTGTGCTGTTTTATAATGGAGGTTCATAATAGACTCGAAATATGAGAGAAAAAAGTCGTGGAACTGCTGGGTATTCGTAAATGAACGTAACTTGAGGGAGAACTTTCGATAAAAGATGAAATTCGCTCAAGCGGCTGGAAGAACATTCATCTGCAAAGCATTTCCCATGCACAACGAGTGGCACTTCAAGTATAATTATGCAAGCATTTTTAAAAACGATAACAATCATTGTGGTAGTCTGCACTGTAGTAATCAAAAGAGATTCAATTAATAAAAAGGCCACCTTGATCGGAGTGCTAAATCTGTTTCAATGAAGACCCAAATAGAAAAAATACACTGAAACATCGATGCAATGCTGGGCTTGATTTTGCATGTCTAATACTCCATAAGCGTGACAGTTGCTGTGCTAGCCATGATATTATAAATGCTAGATAAGTGCATGTAAAATCAGCATCAATTTTTAAGAAAGGAGTGAAACATTATAAGTAAAGCGAAGTCTAAGCTGTTGAGTTGAATATGAAAAATTTGCTTTCATTGAGTTTTCAGAAACAATTACAAAGGCTCCCAAAAGACATCCACCAAAGACAGCGGAAATCGGCTAGTAACAGAACGAACAGGACAC